AAAATAAATTCCAGATAAACTGATAATGTAAAAAACAACATTTAAAACTTTAAGGGAAAAAAATATATATTTTTGACCTTGTGCCACCTGGCACACACACCTTGAGAATTTTTTTTTTTTTGGATAAAACACAAAAAGCCCAAGACTGATATATGTGAATACATTAAAAAAATTTTAATTATATTTTCAACAAATTACACCATAAAGTAAAAAGCTAAGGCACAAACTTGGAGTAAATATATACAAAAGATTAGTTTCAAAAACACCTAAGAAACCCCTACAAGTCATTAAGAAAATCAACTAAAGTACGGACAAAGAATATAAACAAGCAGTTGACAAAAGAAGAAACAGGAATGGCCAACAAGCATATGAAAAAATGGCTCCACCTCACTAGTTAGTAAGCATGGAAATGCATACTATTTCATTTCCATCCAAGAACCACTAGTACAAAAAAACTGGGCAGCATTTAGCAAAGTTGAAGATGATTAGACCTTAGGATCCAGTCCTAGATATATACACCAGAAATTTTCCTATATATGTACAAGGAGATCCACACAGGACCATTTATTTCAATAATTTTTATAATAATGAAAACTTGGGAAGTAACCTAAATGTCAACCAACAGAAGAATCAATAAATAAAGTATGGTATAGCTTATGATGGAATCCTTTATAACTATTAAAATGAAGGATAACTATTAAAATGAATGAAGCAGAGCTACATGGATAAATCTGAAAAATACAATGTTGAATGAAAAATCAATTTGTAACATGATTCTTATGATTTATACAAAGACTAAAAACCTGTTTAAAATATTATATATTGTTTATAAGACATATAATCATGTAGTAAAAATATATAAACATTCATAGGACTGACGAACACTAAATTCTGGACAGATCCTACTTCTGGCGGAGGAAAGGAGGAGAATACAACAGAGTAAAGGTACATAGTGGGCTTCAACTTTACATATAATGTTTTAGCTCTTTTTAAAAAGAGACATATTAGGCATGCATGATAAAATGTTTGGAAACCCTGGTGGTGTAGTGGTTCAGAGCTACAGCTGCTAACCAAAAGGTCGGCAGTTCGAATCCACAGGCGTTCCTTGGAAAGCCTATGGGGCAGATTCCACTCTGTCCTGCAGGGTCACTATGAGTCAGAATCAACTCGATGGCAATGGGTTTTTGGGTTTTGGATAAAATGTTATGATTTGACAGAGTCAGGTGGTGGGTACACAGGAGTTTGTGATTATTCTCTATACTTTTCTGTATGTTTAAATATTTCATTTTTTTTTTTAATGCAAAGTTTAAAACATTACTCTCACGCTTAACCCTCTTCGGCATGACAAACATGGCTCTAAAGTCTATCCACTTCATAATTTTTCAGTCCTATCTTTTACTGTGACTTCCTCTCATATTTCCACTGAGCTGGCTGGGCTATTCCTTGCTCATGCTATTCTCCGCTCATTGCAGTGCCCTCCCTAAAGTCCACCTGGCACACACAACTTGTTGAAACTCATCTCTGTGTTGAAATATTTCCTAGCTTTTGAGTAAAACCAATCACTTCTTCTTGAAGCCTCCATAATGCCTTGTACTTTCATCATAACACAGCTAAATTTTTATTGCAATTAACTGTTGTACATGTGTTTCCCTATTAGAAAATGAATGAATGAATGTCCAGGCAAACTGGGTAAATACAGAATAGATGTATGAAGGCAACCAAATTAAATTCTTTCACAGTCTACCTTCTTAAATCTGTCTCATTGCAATTTATCAGGTGACTTCCCGTGAATGGACACTGCTTGCCCAAGTCCTACTCCTGATCCAGGTCCTGTCTTAGTGGTGTCCAACTCTGCTGGATTGACATTTTTAGCTGCACTTACGTAGCACTAGCAGGTCATCAAGAACTGAGGAGTATGATAGCCCACGCTAACTGCCTCAGAAAGTATGACCCTATGTTGAATAAGTTACATACAACAGAAATAAACAGCAAGAGTCTTGTGTCAAATGTATGCTTTTTGTGAAAAAGAAATAAGGATTAAAAACATTTTTCTAACTCCAAAGCCATTATATCAGGATTTGAAAGATTTTCCTAAAAAAGCTAAAATTTTCACAACTGATTCGGAGATAAGAAGATAAATTTAGAGAACCAATAAGGTTCTAACTCATATTTTCTCAAATATCCATCTGGCAGTTGCTCTGTGAGCTGAGGAAAAGAAGAAAACTAAATATGCAAATAGTTAAGTATTTTTCTATTATTCTGTATTCAAATATTTTCCGCTGCTAAAAAGACACATGCTAACTTCACCATAGTAGCAGAAATAAAATACAACTAACCTGTATAATCTTTTTCTCCTGTACAATCACAGTCAAGCAGGTCATGAGTAGCACAATGTGAACTTTCATGTAAAGTGAATAAATTTTTAAGTTCCTCTACTGAAAACTGAATATGTTCAGATGTCTTGGTCAGGTCCATAACTGCCCCAGAAAGACCTTGCTTACTGATTTGTCTCTGATAGATCTTTTCTTCTATTGTACCTGGAGAGAAAACATTCATCAGACTTGCTGTAGATCCTTCTATTGTTTTCGTAAGGTAAAATATGTTTATTAGTATACTAGTTAAAAAAGGTCCCTGGGTGGTGCAAATGGTTTGAGCTCTACTACTAATCTACAACTTGGCAGTTTGAACCCACCCAGCGATGCCACAAAAGATTACAGCCAAGAAAACCCATGGAGCAGTTCTACTCTGTAACATACAGGGTCACCATAAGTTGCAATCGAGTCAATGACAATGGGTAAGGTAAATTCATGGAATAACAATATTGCTGACATTGAAGCAGTCTAACTCTAAAAAAAAATTTTTTTTTTTTAATTCAAAGGGTAAACTTTTTTTGTCACATTGAGGGGTTATTACCTGTGGTTAAAAGTCTGTAAATATGTACAGGATGCTTCTGTCCATCTCTCCATACTCTAGACATTGCCTATTGAAAATAAATAAGAATTGTGAGAGTACAACAGAAAATAATGGCTCTTTGCCCATAAGCAATTTACAGTAATATATTTAAGACTGGGAATTCTAGATTTTAATTATAGCTTCAAAAAACAAAGCCCAGGCATGCCCAAGCAGGCCCCCACTCATATCTTTTTCCTGGGATAAAAGAAAGCATGGTTGAACACTCACTGTGGTACTGTATATATAACTGTGGGGATGACATCTAACAGTGAAAGGGTCTATCTGTTTCAAAGAATGGGACAGTGAGTTTGGACAATAGAATCCAAAAGAACCAAGTATAGCAATGAAGGCTTATTCCTAGTCCAAGTGGCTACTTAAACCGTGATGTTATCTGAGTCCCTCAGATGTCTGTTCACACACTAGGTAGATCTCTGTGGTTTAAGAACTCATCAATGATACTGTACAGTGAAGGATTGACTCAGAAGGTCTGGGATGTTCACATGCTGCACATTCCAAAGGAAGATCTGGCCCTTGATCACTACTGGAAGACAGCCTCTAAGACCTTGGAGTATTCTACCTGATCACAGTATTATTACCTTGGGCCTTGGACCACACAGTACAGTTCATGCTAAGAATGTGTTTTAAGGCAGAGGCCTTGGGTCACATGTTATCAGTTTGATCTCTGGAGGGGCTGGAGACTGAGTAACTAAAGTCCGCTACACTGGTGCTCCACGTCTATGTGACTAACCTCCAATAAAAACCCCGGACACCAAGGTTCAGGTGAGCTTCCCTGGGTGACAATACCTCATACGCATTGTCATGTATCATTGCTGGGAGAATTAAGGGCTGTCCATACAACTACACTGGGAAAGGACAACTGGAAGCTTGCACCTGGTCTCCCCTGGACTATGCCCTATGAGCCTTTGCTGATGTTAGTCTATATCCTTTCACTGTAATAAACTGTAAACATGAGTATAACAGCTTTTCTTAGTGCTGTTTGTCCTTCTAGTGAACCACTGAACCTGTGGGTGGTCATGAAGACTCCCAATTCAAATACCAACTAAGATGCAAATCTGTAGGTAAGAAATCCCAAAGCATGAAGACGGACTGCACATTGAAGAAAACAAAATGCTTCTTTTGAACTATTTGCCTGGATAGGTTAATTTTATACCCTAAGCCCACCCTGTATAAACATTGATCATAGCATCTATAACACTTGTCTTCTCTTCATAGTCACGAGTACCCTTAAGGCCAAACTCTGTAATGATTTAGAGCCTGGAGACCTACAGGTTTGGGTTTGAATCTTGGCTCTGCCTCTTAAAAAGATGTATATCCTAGAACAAACTTCCACTGTCATCTGTAAAGTGCTAATAATATCTGCACTTGTAGAGTTGTGAAGACTAAATAAATGGAAAGCACTTAGCAGTGTGCCTGATACACAATAAAGGGCTCAATGTGTAGTAGTTATTATTATATCATCATCATCTTTGTATCTCCAGCAGGCATTGTATTCCCAGGATACATTTAAAAATGTTTATTTAATGCATAAATATTCCTACCTGGATATCAGTGGCTGGATTCCAATCAATGTCATAGAGAATTAAGTGAGATCCTCCAATAAGGTTAAGTCCCACACCACCAGCCTTTGAACTTAACAAAAAAATAAAATCCGAAGAGTATTTACTATTGAAGCCATCAACAATTTGCTGCCTTTGAGAGATGGGTGTTTGTCCATCAAGCCTTGTATGAGCATATCCATGGCGCTTGCATACTTCTTGTAAAATATCCAAGGTTTTTGTGTAGTTAGATACCAACACCACCCTGTCAATCAAAAAGAAAGACTCTTTATGGTCGCATAACCAGAGACTCCATCAGTCTGAGACCAGAACTAGATGGTGCCTGGCTACCACCAACGACCACCTGACAGGCAACATAATCGAGGGTCCCTAACGGAGCAGGAGGAAAGTAGGGTGCAGAACTCAAATTCTAGTAAAAAGATCAGACTTAATGGTCTGACTGAGACAGGAGGGACCCTGGAAGACATGGTCCCCAGACTCTCCGTTAGCCCAGAACTGAAACCATTCCCAAAGCCAACTCTTCAGATAAAGATTAGACTAGACTATGGGACATAAAATGATACTCGTGAAGAGAGTGCTTCTTAGCTCAAGTAGATACATGAGACTAAATGGGCAGCTCCTGTCTAAAGGCGAGATGAAAAGGCAAAAAGGGACAGGAGCTGGTTGAATGGACACAGGAAATCCAGGGTGGAAGGGAGGAGTGTGCTGTCACATTATAGGGAGAACAGCTAGGGTCACACAGCAATGTGCATATAAATTTTTGTATGAGAAACTGACTTGAACAGTAAACTTTCACTTAAAGCACAATAAAAAGACTATGTATAATTCAAAGACAATATTAAATTTTTAATTTGAAACAAAATATCACGATAATATTATAGCTAATATTTAAAGAATATGCAAAAATGACCCTATACAATTTTCAAATGCAATTTTAAAGTCAGTATCTAACAGACTTCTAGTTTTAAGATAGTGGAGTAAAGGCCTTTCTGCCTTCTTCTACTCTCTGAAGTAACCCTGAAAACAGCAGGCAAATGAGAAACAAACACAAACTATATCTCTATTGAAATAAGGAGACATCTATAAACCTGAACCAATATATGAAGACAAACGAGAACAGAGGAATGGTGATCTGCTTACGAGTACAGAAGAAGGTTAACCCTAAGTGCCCAAAGGGGGGTACACCAATGAGAAGCAAGTGCAAGTTAATTCACGTCACAGAATCTTGTTAAGACTCAGGTACTGAGTTAAGACAATAGGTACCTCAGAAGGAAGGAGTTTAGGTGGAAGCTATTACAAGAGCATTGGTAAATAGACCCCAGACCCCATCTCCACGTAACCAGCTGACATCTCTTTCTCAAACAGAATGTTTACTCTCTAGAGAAATTAAACCAAAGAAACTTAGACCTGGGGACGCTGGCAGACAGGTATATAGTGACAGATCTAAAGAAAGTCTGATACTAAATGTTAAGACCCCAGCCTTCTTCTCCTGTTAACTCCCAGCAATCACGGTCCAGGGAGGATATTAGAGAATTCATCTCTAGAGAGACTTCAATGACACCAGAGAAAAGATCCACAGATAGGAAATCCCCAAATGAAAAAGCCAGTTCGCTGCCTGATTATCTCACAATGAAGGCCACCAGTCAACAAGCCCTTCCCATATATACAGAGCATTCAGTTAATAAAAATCTTGATACCAGAAAGTAGGGGATGAATTCCTAGGATTAAGAAATAAAATCAATATAATTTAGTGACTGACTTAATGTTGGGAAAGTGAAGAAGAAAAGTGAGTGTAGAATGACTTTCAGGTTTTTTACGTGCATTAAGCTAAGGAATATTGAAAAAGGAACAGGCTTGCAATGGCAAAACAATGAAATGGGTTTGGGACATGTGAAGCTTGAAGTCCCACAGGACATCCAGATAGGTTTAAACCTTCATTAAACAGAAATAAGGATGTGGAACTTAGAAGAAAAGGTTAGACAAGAGATAGAGAACTAGAATCAATACTATCTAGGTGATAGCTGAAACTATGGGGAGTAGAGATCTCCCAGGAACAGGGTTTAAAGTGAGAAGAAGGCTAAGGAGAAAATTCTAAGAAATATCAACATCTAAGAAACAATAAAGGAAGGAAGTATACTGAAGGAGACTGAGAAACAAGTTAGGTGTTATATATCAAAAGACACCACTAGGTTTTTTAAATGTACATATATAAACATTTAAGTGTTCTTAAAAACTGCAGACACATTATTACGAGTTTACAGAATATTGGGAGCTGACTATGCCCCCAAAGAAGAAAATAATTAATTTCTGATTTTTTCTTATTTACAATGGGGGAGGGGGTATAGAGAAAGCAAGAAGTAAGGGCGTAGTCCAAGCCAAAATTCCACAAGCATTTATAAGCAGCTTATTAAATCAATCTCTTACTTTTCAGAAGGACGAAGTTCATGGATAACTGCTAAGAGCTTTGACAACACCTGTAGTTTTCCTGACTCCTTCTCAGTGAACATGAGAGGATTATAATCAGCAGGGAACACATTTATCAAGCCTTCATATAGACTCCTTTCTTCATTTTCATCACAAGTTGCGCTACATTCTTTTTCCTATTCAAAATAATTTTAACACTGGTTCATGTTTGCTTTTTTAATGGGAAGAAAAAAATGCTACAATTGTGGGGGGGAAAAAATGAAGATTAATAGCTACCTAAAAAGACCAAGCTAACTTTTATATAAACCTTTACAGGTCACAATTTGGTCATTTTTTAAAAAAAGTCAACATGCACCCTACTTAGTTAATTACAGAGCAGTCTTAATACAGTCTCCTAATACCTGCTGCCTTCATCCTACATGTGTAGTATTATTGCCCATATGTAACTATGGGTAATATCTGTCCTTTCCAAAATCCTGAGATTTGCTGTCACTGATATATCTACTTCTCTTTCTCTCTCTGTTCCCTTCCTTTCTCTCTATTATTGCTTTTCTCTCCTGATTTATGGGCTTCACACAATACCTCTCAAGTGATAATAAAAAACAAGCACAATAATCTACTCAATCTCATCACTTTCTTCTTCCAGAAGGAACAATTCTACTGATATGTTATAATTTTATTCTTACTTGTATTTTTTTCTTTTTATCAATAGTTTTTAGAATTTTATTCCAAAGTGATTAGCAGCATCTCTGAAATCCCATCTCCATGCCTACCTCACATGTGAACATATAACTAGAACATTACAGTTACTGATGACTACATCACTTTTTAGGTTAAATTCATGTGATTGGTTCACTGCCGCACTTACCAGACTCATCACTGCTTTTGTGTTCAACCTACTCCCCCGTGTCTGGTATGCATCCTCATTTTTCTGCCTAGTTATACCAACCGTATCAGTAGTTGAGGACTCAATGCAAATTCTACCTGATTATTCGTAGCCTTTTTTTTTTTTTTTTTTACTTAACAAAAGTTAAACACAGTACATTTCAGCTTTGATCTTATTTGAGCAATAAACTATATACTTTTTTATACTTCCCTAATATTTTCATGGAAACCCTAGTGACATAGTGGTTAAGAGCTACAGCTGCTAACCAAAAGGTTGGCAGTTCAAATCCATCGGGCACTCTTTGGAAGCCCTATGGGGCAGTTCTACTCTGTCCTATAGGGTCACTATGAGTTGGAATCGACTCAACAGCAACTGGTTTGGGTTTTTTGGTTTGGGTTAATATTTTCATGTCTGTTGTCTTCCCTTTTTAATAATACTAGAAACATCTTATGGGGCAGCTCTACTCTGTCCTATAGGGTCGTTATGAGTCAGAATCAACTTGACGGCAACAGGTTTGTTTTTTTTTTTTTTGTTTACAAACATCTTAAAGGCAGTCAATCCCTGTCCCTTAAGCCTCCATCAGCGTAAAACGTTGGGCACATAGTACTAACTTTAATTTAGCTTATTCCCAAAATACAGCAATATTTGAGTAAAGTTAATTGATTGAAAAATGTGGCACCCAAAGATATTTATATCACTGGGATACACAGGGGGAAAAGATGGTTGCTGGCTGCTCCAGGTTAAGCCTCCTAAAATGCTTACACCTTGAAGGGGTCATCAAAGGGCCACAGATTCAGGGTCTAGTACACAGCTTTTCATGTTCAAAAATTTGAGTATGTTCAAACTCTAGGGAAATGATTCATACTAACCAAAGCAAATTAAGAAACTGAATATTAAGTCAGAATGAAAAATTTATTGACTTACAAATGACACCAGCCTACTTAAACCAATTGGTCTATGCATTCTGTTCTATGAAAGAAGGTCCATAGGAGAAGCCAACTCATTAGCAAAAAGTTGTCTGGTGAATATTAAATCAGTACAAGGGAGATGAGTAATCTTAATGCACAAATTTTTAATCTGGAACACATAACCAGAATCACTTGGGAAATCTTTCTCAAATTCCTCATACCTGGGTCCCGCTCTCAGATTCTGAATAAATAGGTATGTGTTGAAGCCTGAACAAATGTAGTTTTAAAAGCTTCCAAGGAGATTATAGCATGTACTGCCCTAATTAAGAATCAACTAATAGATAATGTCTTTACACCATGACAGCCTGATGAACCACTTCCCTCACAGGGATTTACCAGTCAGACTTTTCACATAAGCTAATCAGGGTACTCTCTCTTCTGACCTAGGCAGACATGTTAGACTCCATATAAACCAATACCCTTGAGTTATGACTTATGATTTTTTATTGGTTACATTTCATTCACGTTTCCTGACAGAGAGCCATTGCCTTGACTGAACTTGAGAAACAACCTAGTTTTAATAGGAACACATTTCTAAACCATTGCTTAAAGAAGGTTACTTATACATGTGGAAGGCTCATTTCAGGTATTTTATACTGATACTTATTTTTTGTGATATTAGAGGGAGCCTTTTCTAAAGAAGTCTCAGACTGTAAATATACACCCTATTTGAAGCCTGCAGTGTTCTATGTCTATTACTACTGGACATATAGCAACAATGGAGAAAAACTCTTGAGTCCTCTGCCGCTTTCTTCAAGAATGTGCAAGGATATTCCAAGTTAACTGGTATATTCTGAGCCATCATAAGATCTTCCTTTTAGGGAAGAATTTTTGGCTTCTATTTTTCCTGGGCATCCTGCCTAAAAGGTTTCATTTTTATGACTGTATATAAAATCTGTTTCTTAAAAATGTTGCTTAATAAATTGCTATAATCCTGCCTACTGCAAAAGTTACAGAAAGCTGACTTCTCCTATGATAAACTAAGTTAATATAAGTCATTGTAGGATAAGCTTGGAGAATTCTGGTAGAACATTCCATTTTCTAAATAAGTCTATAATTAATGACCTCAAGCATAATGTAGCATCCAAAATTTTATTATTTGCAAATTACAATTTTACTGCTTAAAAAAAAAAAAAAAAAAGCAGAATAAAAATTGCTAAGGGTGAGTTGGGGATAAAGGGCATTAATAGTTACTGTGCAATTTCTATGGCCAGGCTTTCTACTAGGTTCTTTCCAAACCATCTCATCAAATTGTCACAATAACATTATCAGTAAGTTATTATTATCTGTGGTTAGATAAGAAAACTAAGGCTCACAAATGTAACTTGTCCATGGTTAAACTTGCCCACGGTTAAGGAACTAGTAAGTGGTAAAGGGGGGACTGAAACCAAGGTCTAACTCCAAAACACAAAACTCTTACTATACTCCAAACTGCCTTATAGTCATTAAATATCCAAATAGTCACCTCAACTATGTAGCCATTAAAAATTATACTTATAGAAGGTAACCAACTTGGGAAAATGCTTATATCTGGTGGGAAAAAAAAAAAACTGTACTTTAAAATAGTAAGCACAGTATTATTAAAATTAAGTTTCCCTAAAATAAGATTATGTATGTACATCTCTGAGCCCCTGTTTCCTCTCAAAAATGAGGATGATAATAACAGTACTTATTCCAAAGAGTTTTTGTAAAGAATAAATAAAATAATGCTTGAAGAGCACTTAGTATGATGTTTGGCACATAGTAAGTGCTTAATAAATATCAGTTAGTATTATTACTAATATAAAAAATTTTTTTCTGGCTAGAGAGCTTATGAAAGATTTTCATTATCTTCTTTGAGATTTTTATGAATTTTACAAATGTCACACAACAATCACGTTCACTTTTATAATGAGGAAAAGTAAGTTATTTTTTAACGGTAGTTTTTATATTTTTAGCTCCCGAACAAACAAACCTGACTGTATTACCACAACAGAATATTTAACAAGGTATCAAAGGACATGGGGCAAAAACCTAGAAGGCAGTGCCTCAACCCCATTTCATCCCTAGTCTAGCTCTGTGAATGTGAACATGCTCTGAAGAACAAGTAAAAGGCTGGATAAGCTCTATAACAGAGCCATACTGGAATGGCTACAGACTTTTGGAAAGCCCACAAATGTAACCACAGGGACTGGCACAATCTTCTCTCCAAGATTCATATGACACAGGCCCTTTTTCTCATATCCCTGGCCTGGTCCCACATACTACTTACCCTTATAGAATTGAACAAAAGGCAAGGATGACTGCACAGTTTTTTAAGAGCTCCTATACATATTAGATGAGGACTATTTTCCAAAAACCCTTGAAGACAGAACCTGACAGCCTTAGAAGTCAACAGCTTTCGATAAAGTTCAATCTGTAGTGCTCCTGGCTGGCAAAAGACAACATTTTCTATTTTAGGTGGGAGATATTTATTTATGACTTCCTGGGTCCTTCTAAGAATAAAGAGTCCAGTGAGGCGAGTAAGTTCAGCTGCTCTTCTTGCTCCTAAAATCCTTTCTTCCTAAGGAAAAACAGAAGATTTAAAATAAAAATGTTATGGACAAAAAATACTCACAGTTAAAATGAACATTAAACATTTTATAATGATAAACCAGATTTTTTTTTTTAAACAGAATAAATGAAATACGAGTTGGGGATAGAAAAAACAACCATGTTCTTTTTAACTGTTCAGCATAACATTTAGTTAAGTGAGGCCACAGTCTCCTAATCCTTGTTTGTTTGGCTACTGGCTCCATCGAGAGCCATCAAAAATCAAAAATCTACAAGCTAAATTATTCTAAAAGGAAGTTTTTATACAGAGATTGTATTGGCATATAGTCTTAAAATCACCAGCAAAGAGCTGATACAGCAAATTCTTGGAAGCCAATAAATTTTGACAAGTTATTGATCCTAAAACTAAGCCTACAAGAAGAAATACTGGCACAAGACACTGAAGTTTCCTTCAAAATCACTTCAAATTGTTCACTAACTACTACTACTTTTTTAAAATCAAAATACAATATGAATAAAAATACATTTAAATTGTATAGAATCCTTTTAAGAATACAGAATTTCACAGTAAGGCTTAAAATAAACCATATGTGTGCGTGTATATATATGTACATACACATATATTTTTTATTTATTAAAGTGAGTTATACCTCAGAAGCAGAAGGTTCTCTCGATATAATGATGGGTTCTTCATATATTTTTCTATAGGATGACAAAGAACCTAATATGCCTGGATTTACAAAATCAATTAATGCAAAAAATTCCTGCAGGTCATTTTGAACTGGAGTACCTAGAGACATAAAAATGATGAGAAGGTCAAGTTCGTGTTTTACAATCATGTGTCTTTAAAAAAATTTGTACTTTCTTCCCTAAGAGGACTTTATATATAAGAAAATTCCCTAAAATTGAGGAAGAGCAGTCAAAACAAGTTGAAAAAAAATTAGTGATCACATAAATTTTTAACTCTAGTTTTAATTGTGTACTAAATTCTTATGTAGTACAGCACAGTGGCTGAGAGCAGGCTCTGGAGCCTGAATGCTTGGATTCAAATTCTGCCTGATCACTTACTACGTGAGTAACCTGGAGCTAGTTACTTAATCCAGTTTTATTACCTGTAAAATGGGGATAATAATAGTAGCTCCTAGGGCTGCGAGGGTCAAATGACTTAATCTCTATTATACATTTAGACTAGTGCCTAGCATACAATGAATGCTCAATAAGTGTTAGCAATTCTCCTTGTTATTATAACTTTGTGGTTTTAGATAACTTGCTTAAGTTCTTTACGTAAGACTTGGGATTCTTTTCATTTATAAAAGTGGGAAGATAATAATTTCCCAGGGGTATTACCATAAAAAGTAGACAAAGTATGTGAAGTACCCAGCACAAGGCCTGACACTTAGTAAACACTTTGTGAATGGTACTTATTATTATTATCTTTCAAAGTTACCAAATCAAATTGGGACTTTCACCGTCCTAAGGGCTAACATAAAATCATAATGGATGAGTATACCTTGCATATACTACATATACTCAAAAACTTGTACTAATTTTCAAAAAAACATTAGCAATGTTTCAATAATTATAATGTCAAAAAATATATATAAACCAGCACAGTCCAAAAGTATAATTTCAAATAACAAACTAGAAAAAGTTGCCCAAAGATATAAGTAACATAATGTAAGAAGTAAAGAAAAATGCATTTATTGCGTTAATATGAACATGAATTTTACAACGTCAGGGAGCACAATGATCACGTCCCTCAAAACTAAAAGGGTTCCCCCCAGTTAGACCAATACTTGCTAATTTTTTTCTTTATTTAACACATTTAGTGAGATCTAAAGGAGCCCTGGCGGCGCAATTGTTAAGTGTTTGGCTGCTAACTGAAAGTCAGAGGTTGAAACGCCATCAGCCTCTCCATGGGAGACAAGATCTGGTCATCTGTTCCCATAAAGATTTCAGCAAAGGAAACCCTATGGGGCAGTTCTACTCTGTCCTATAGGCTCACTATGTGTAAGAATGATACAGCATTATATGTGTGTGTGTGTGTGTGTGTGTGTGTATATATACATATAGGTATATATACACACCAAAAAACCAAACCCACTGCTGTCAAGTCAATTCCGACTCATAGTGACTTTAAAGTGGGAGAGGGTCCTATTTTTATCCCTTCCCTCAGTACTTTTCAGTAACCTTTACTCCCTACTCTTCCTCTTTATTTCTTTTTCTCTCTCTTCTAGTTCTAATTTATTTTACTCTGCAGCTGATGTTACTCTTCAGATAAGCAATATTTACCTTACACTGGGCAGTAAGGAGCATTTCCTCATGTGTCTGTTGGCCGCTCGCATGTCTTCTTTAGTGAAGTGTATGTTCATTTCTTTTGCCCATTTTTTAATTGGATTATTTGTCTTTTTGTTGTAGAGGTGTTAGATTTTCTTGTAGATTTTAGAGATAAGACCTTCGTCTGACTTATAATGTCCAAAAATTTTTTCCCAGTCTGTAGGTTCTCTTTTTACTCTTCTGGTGAAGTCTTTTGTTGAGCATAAAAGTGTTTAATTTTTAGGAGATCCCAGTTACCTAGTTTATCTTCTGGAGTTTGTGGGTTGTTGGTTATGGTTTGTATCCTATTAATGCCGTGTATTAGCCGTTGATCCTGTTTTTAATTCTATGAACATTATCGTTTTTGGCTTTGTATTTAGGTCTTTGATCCATTCTGAGTAAGTTTTTGTATATGGTGGGAGGTATGGGTCCTGCTTCATTTTTTTGCAGATGGGAATCCAGTTTTGCCAGCACCATTTGTTAAAAAGACTGTCTTTTCCCCATTTAATGGACTTTGGGCCCTTGTCAAAGATCAGGTGACCACAGGTGGATGGATTTACATCTGGGTTCTCAATTCTGTTCCATTGGTCAAAGTATCTGTTGTTGTACCAGTACCAGCCTGTTTTGACTACTGTAGCTGTATGGTAGGTTCTGAGGTCAGGTAGCGCAAGTCCTCCTACTTTATTCTTCTTCTTCAACAGTGCTTACTTAACCAGGGCTTCTTCCCTTTCCATATAAAGGTAATGATTAGTTTCTCCATCTCTTTAAAGAATGTCATTGGTATTTGGATCGGGATTACACTGTATTTGTAAATCACTTTGGGTAGAACTGTCATTTTCACAATGTTGAGTCTACCTATCCATGAGCATGGTATGTTTTTCCATTTATGTAGATCTCTTTGGTTTCTTGCACTAGTGTTTTGTAGTTGTCTTTGTATAGGTCTTTTACAACCCTGGTTAGATTTATTCCTAAGTTTTTTTTTTTTTTTTTGGGCTATTATAAATGGTATTGTTTTCCTGATTTCCTTTTCATCGTTCTCTTTATTGGTGTATAAGAATCCAACTGATTTTTGTATATTTATCTTCTATCCTGTTACTCTGCTAAATCTTTCTATTAGTTCCAGTAGTTTTCTCATGGAGTCTTTTGGGTTTTCTATGTATAGTATCATATCATCTGCAAATAGGGACAGTTTAACTTCTTCCTTACCAATTTGGATGCCCTTTATTTCTTTTTCTTGCCTTATTGCTCTAGCTAGGACTTCCAGCACAATGTTAAATAGGCGTGGTGATAAAGGGCATCCTTGTTTTGTTCCTGTTCTCAGGGGGAATGTTTTCAGCCTCTCTCCATTAAGAATGATGTTGGCCATTGGTTTTGCATAGATGCCCTTTACTGTGTTGAGAGATTTCCCTTCTATACCTACTTTATTCCAGTTTTTATCAGGAATGGGTGGTGGACTTTGTTGAATGCCTTTTCTGCATCCACTGAAATGATCATTTGATTCTTTTCTTTCCTTTTATTTATGTGGTGGATTACACTGATTTTCTAATGTTGAACCATCCTTGCATATCTGGTATGAATCCTACTTTGTCGTGGTGTATTATTTTTTTGTTATGATGCTGAATTCTATTGGCTAGAATTTTGTTCAGAATTTTTGCATCTATATTCATGAGAGATATTGGTCTGCAATTTTCTTTTTTTGTGGCATCTTTGCCTGGGTTTGGGATCAGGGTTATGCTGGCTTCATAGAATGAATTCAGAAGTGTCACTTCCTTTTCTATGTTCTGAAATAGTTTGAGTAGTACTGGTATAAGCTCTTCTCTGAATGTTTGATAGAATTCTCCAGTGAAGCCATCTGGGACAGGCTTTTTTTTTTGTTGGGATTTTTTTTTATTACCTTTTCAATCTCTTGTTATGAGTCTGTTCAGATTTTCAATATCACTTTGTGTTAGTTTGGGTAGGTAGCGTGTTTCTAGAAATTTATCCATTTCCTCTAGGTTTTCAAATTTGTTGGAGTATAGTTTTTCATAATGCTGTTATGATCCTTTTTATGTCAGTTGGGTCTGTTGTAATGTCCCCCATTTCATTTCTTATTTGGGTTATTTGTGTCCTCTCCTGTTTTTCTTTTGTCAGTCTGGCCAGTGGTTTGTCAATTTTGTTGATCTTTTCAAAGAACCAACTTTTGGTTTTGTTGATTCTTTCTATTGTTTTTCGACTCTCTATTTCATTTATTTCTGTTCTGATCTTTATTATTTCCTTTCTTCTAGTGGCTGTGGGCATTTTTTGCTGTTCTCTTTCTATTTGTTTGAGTTGTGTAGTTAATGTTTTGATTTTGTCCCCTTCTTCTCTTTTGATGTGTGCATCTATTGCTATAAATTGTCCTCTGGGGACTGCTTTTGCTGTGTCCCAAAGGTTTTGGTATGACGAAAACACGTATAATTTGAAAACCGCTTTTGGTAATGATTAATATAATCCTCCTACACAAATTCAAATTACCATCAATTGTTTAAGGATGGGTACCCTCTGCACCCTAATTCAATAAGAGCAGAATAGGGGGAGTTTCTCTTCTCTGCTGCTCTGGAGAACATTCCTACCCTTAGGATGTACGAAGGTTGAACAAGTTGTTCGTCATACACCTTCTCTCACCTCATTTTAACCTCAGAGAAGAGTCCTGACGTGAATAATGGGCATATGAAGGGCAAAATGAAACCAGAAATCATGATGTAATGAGAACAATCATGTCCTGAACATCCCTTCTAAAAGGATTAAAGGTGGTAGGGAAATTGAACCTTGAGTAGAAAATAGAGGGGTCATCAATATTAGTAATGAATACAACTCTCTTCCCACTTCTGCTGTCAAAGGGCAAACTGGAAAGGCCAAACAAGATCAAGCTGAGGTGTGGGAGAAAAGCTACATTAAGCTGCTCAGTCTTGACCCTAGTCTGTTTTGAGCTAAAAAGGAGTAACTAGGAAAAGATCCTTGTATTTACACATGGTCCATTCCACCTTGCCAGACAGATTACATAGGGATTTGAAGATTCAGAATTCTACCAAGACTCAATTAACACAGGTTTATTAGTATGCAATCTATTAATACCAAGTGTTATGAGTCTTATATATTCACTAGGCAAGAATTCCACCATATATCCAAAAAGTAAATACTGACCAGTTAGAATTATTCTTTTCTCACAAGAGAGGCTAATGAGGGCTGTAGTTGTTTTAACGGCACTGTTCTTCAAACGATGCCCTTCATCACAGATTAGAAGATCAAATTTAATATTCTTAATTTGATCCAGGGAACGAAGTAACATTTCATAACTGATGATAAGAACAGAATATAATGGAGATTTGATGAATTCTTCTACTTTGTGGTCCTAAAAAAAAAAAAGATAATCTTTAACAATCATGGGCAGAAACTGTGTGAAATCAAACTTAAGCAGCATATTCCTGACAGCCAATTATCAAGTATTAGAATATGTTAACTCAAAACCAAAATATAAGCCAAGACTCCATTTTTGTGCAAAGGAGTTATAGAGTTATATACACTTGAAAAACTACAATAGAGTGAAAACTGCAGCAGATTTAAAATGCTTGTAACTTATAAAATGACTAAGACTAAATTTTTAAAGGCCTCTTACCTGATCAACAGTAAATATCTTGATCCTTTCACTTCCCAGCCATTTTTGAAACTCCTTCCTCCAATTATTCACCAAGCTTCCAGGTGTGACAATAAGTGTCTTCTTTATTACTGGTTTGCCTCCATAGGGTCCCTGACACTGTAGAGTCCAGATGAGTGAAATACATTGCAATGTTTTCCCTAAACCCATTTCATCAGCAAGAATAGCTCCACATCTGCCATCCACTCTGTTAGAAATAATTGTACTTCTTTTAAACATCAAAGACACAAGAAAAGTATTAGCCCAAGAGACAGAAAGGGCCACATAAACCAGAGACTCCATTAGCCTGAGACCAGAAGAACTAGATGGTGGCTGGCACCAATGACTGCCCTGACAAGGAACACCACAGACAGTCCCGGATGGAGCAGGAAAAAGGTGGGGTGCAGAACACAAATTCTAGTAAGATCAGACCTAGTGGTCTGACTGAGACTGGAGGAACCCAGAAAGTATGGTCCCTGGATTCTCTATCAGCCCATAACTAAAACAATTTTGGAGGCCAGTTCTTCAGACAGGAATAGGGCTGGACTGTGGGACATAAAGTGATACTCATGAGGAGTGTGCCTCTTGGCTCAAGTGGATACGGGAGACTAGATGGGCAGCTTGTGTCCAGAGATGAGACGGGAAGGCAGAGAGGGTTAGGAGCTGGTTGAATGGACATGGGGAGTCGGAAGTGGAAAGGAGGAGTGAGCTATCACAGTATGGGGAGAGTAATTAGGGTCACATAACAATGTATGTATAAATTTTTGTATGGGGAAAAATTTTTTAAAAAAAGAAATAATTGTACTTCTTTTAATCACAATAAAAAAATATTTCATTCTTCTAAAATCATCACTTACTAGTGAAGAACCAGAGCTAATATTTTGCAATTATGATAAATTCTAGCACCCGCTGAACATTTTTCTAGTTTTTAATTCAGCTGATTTATAACACATCTCTCTTTTGCATCTTTGATAATTATATTCATTATCCATTGGCAACTAAATTACTAAAACATAAACCCTAGAGAGATGAATCTAAATTATCTGTTACCATTATATGTATATATTTAGAGAGACAAGAAATTAATCTCAATTTTATATCTATATTTGGGTAATTAAATTATAACTGTTTCTCATCACTAACAGTTGAGCAACTTTAATCCGTTTTAGTATTAGATACCAAAACAGTTTAAAATATATTGTAACTTTAAGCAACAAAATCTACTGAGCTGTATTTATGATTCTCTGACCGTAAAGGAAGCCCTCAACCAAAATAGCTCTGTGCACTGTAGCAAAAATTAAACACTAAAGATTTTACCTAAAATACTTAATTTAGTAAATATCTGTTATCATACAGACCTAAGTTAATATAATTTAAAAAATTAAATTTTAGTAATAATATTATTAATACGATCATGCATTTTAATATCACTTTATATTTTTAAAACATATATATATATGAAGCCCTGGTGGCGCTGTGGTTAAGAGCTTGGCTGCTAACCAAGAGGTCAGCAGTTTGAATCTACCAGCTGCTCCTTGGAAACCCTATGGGGCAGTTCTACTCTGTCCTATAGGGTTGCTATGAGTCGGAATTGACTCGACAGCAACAGGTTTATATATGTGTATATACATATATGTACACACACACACATATATATATATTACAAATTTCAAGGGAATTAAGGATATTACCAAAAATATAAGTAGAGTTTATTAATTGATTGTATTTCTTATTAGTAGAAATAACCAAAAAGCAATCTTACATGTTTTGCATTTCAAAGTGCAAGGAAAAATTTACAAGAACGAATTATAGTCACTATTATCATTTTTAGATCAACAATTTGCCAATGCAGGGCCAAATATCCAAAAGGAAGTACAGATTTGAAAGAGAAGATGAGTCTAGTTATAAGTTTCCAGGAGATAGTTATCCCTTAACCTGTCATCATTCAAGGAATTCTTAGAGTTAGGGGGAACCTACATTCCCAAACCCCTATTAAATAACAAATTTAAAAATCAAGGGCTGATGCATTTAAAAGCAAAATAAAAATAAAGCAAAACAATGACTGGCAAAAAAAAATAAAATAAATAAATAAAAAAATGACTGGCAGGAAACCTACCAATACGTTAGCAAGGACCTTTGATTTTTTTTTTTTTTCCTTTTTCTTTCTCGTTTTTTTGGGGTGTGTGTGTGTGTGTGTGTGTGTGTGTGTGTGTGTGTTCATTCAAAAATATCTTTAAAAGAGGTACTACTATACCTAAATCAAAAAAATCAATTTAAAAAGGAGGGGCTCCGCAATAGACAAGTGGTATCTTGGGTGAAGGGTGAGACAGTACACAATACAGGGGAAACTAACACAACCTGTACAAGGAAAGGTCATGGAGGCCC